GCCTCTTTATAACCAGTATTTTGAACTCTGCGTCTGTTAAATTACTTGACTCCATTATATCTGGATCTCTGTTCTGTTCTATCATGTGGTTTCTGCTTCTTTGTCTTCCCATTTTGGCTGCCTTTCTGTGTCTGTTTCTATGTACTAAGCAAAGCTCCTAAGTCTCCCAGTCTTATTAGTATGGATTTGTGAAGTAGGTGTTCAGTGGCACAGTCGTGACAGGGGCTCAGCTACAGACCAAATTTAGCCCAAGCCTCTGCCCCTCTAGAGCCACCTGTTAAGATTCAGCAAGCAATCCACAGATGCTGTGCTTATAGTTGCCTCAAAAGGCCAACCAGAAACCAAGGCCAGGTGCCTCCAGTGTGAGTCTAGACACTGCTCAGCAAGAAGCACCTGACTGGCTGAGGATATACCTGGATATGGCTTGGGTGGGGCTACGAGTTGGGCTAGGCGGAGTTTCAGGGAATCCTCTGGGCTGAGCAACCTTTGCTATCCAGTTTGATGAGGACTCAGTTACGGCAGTGTTATGTCCATGCACTGGGAGCGGGGAGGGCTCAACAGGGTACAATGAATACCGCTGGCACTTCTGTACAGTGTGAGTCTCGCCTTGGCCCTCCGACAATGTCTCCCTGTAAGTCCCTGGTGCCCCCTCACATAGCCTAATTGGCATTAGTGCACAAAGTGAGCAGGTCCATCATGACGAAAATCCACTCACAGATGCGGCCCCTCTAAGAGGTGTCTGCCACTGCCACTGCCACAGCCTCAGTCTCACTCAGCTGCTCGAGACCGGGCAGCCCTGCATCCTCGCCCCATCCTACCTTCTGCCATTGCAGGGTGATTTCTTGGATTTCTCCCTAGTTGTATGACTTGTTCATCCCAGGCAATTTTTCCTTGCTACTGCTGCTACTTATTTGTCACAATTTTGATTTGGTTGCCAGAGGAATGAAGAGAGCCTCTATCATCTACACCATTTTTTTCCCTTCTCAGTACTAATTTTTTTAAAAAAACTTCCTCAGAATACATACCAGTTCAAAATGAACTGTCTCTAGTTGTGTTAAGGGATAAGACCACAGTTAGTGAATAAGAGGACTTGAACATAATTCTTTCTTTTTTAATACTAAAGAAAGTCTAACAAAATGTTAATAATTACCAAATCTGGGTTTATTTGACATATTATCTTTTTTGCTTTTCTGTGTTTTTTACATCTTTCACAATAAAAAGTGTAAGTAAGAGAGAAATAACTATTAAAAAAAAACCTTTCCTGGATCCCATATCCCTCTCCAGCTCCTACCAATTCTCTTTCCTCCCATTCCAAGTCAAACGTCATAAAAATATTGTCCATAATAGCTTTCTCTAAATCCTGAACTCCCATTCACTTGTCAACTCACAGTTGACTTCCACAACTGACCCATCCCACCCTCACAGACACTGCTCTCACTGTCATCAGTGACCTCTTTGTTGCTAAAGCAAAAGATATTAAGTTCATATTTTCGTGATCTCTCAGCAGCACACATTGTAACTGTAACATGGTTGACCACCCTTTCCTTCTTAAAACACTTTCCTTTTGTCTGCCATGAAACTACACTATCCTGGTTTTCTCCTACCATTTTGGCCTTCCATTTTCAATCTCATTAGCCATCTCTTTCACCACCTACCCAATTTTTTAATGTTGGAGTTCTTCAGGGCCTGATCCTTGGGCCTTTTCTCTACTTGTTCTCGTCAGGTGATCTTATTTATCCCCATGACTCCAATTAAAATCGACAATATGATAGCTTCTATATTTACAGTTTCAACCCAAACCTATATTTTGAGCTCAAGATCAGTGTATCCAAATGGGCTACTTAATATATCCTCTCTATAGCGCTCGATTCAACATGTTCAAAATCAGACTCAGAATATCTTCTCCAAATTGTTCCTTATAAGGCAATACATTCAAAATAATTAAATATATATTTATTTATCAATTGTAGTAGAAACATGTTCACCATAAATTAAGTGGGAAAAAAAGGGGATTATAAAGTATTATATATCATTTCCTCTCATTACTATAAGACAAAAAAATACACACACACACACACATATATATACACACATACACACATATATATATATACATCTCTCTCTATATATATAGAGAGAGAGGGATATAAATGCCTAGAAAAAGATTTGGTAGGACATACACCAAAATGTTAAGCAATAATCTCTGGGTGGTAGGATTACAGTCGATTTTTATTTTCTTCAGCTTCTTCAGCTTCTTCTTGTGTGTGTGTGTTTATTTTCCATATTCTCTAAAATGGATGTTTTTCACTTTTGTAAGACATTCTTAGTTATCTTTTTAAATCTCCTGATAGGAAGCAATATGAAGTTCACAGCATCAATTATAAAGTTTTTTTACTAAAACTGTTTAACTTAAATCTAGTTAAGTTTTAGCTCTAACTTTGAGTTTGTAGAAGGCAACAGAGAAACATGTTATACAACACCATGAGAAAATAATTAGACAAATCAAGAAGGGAGAACATTCTATAAGATAGCCTATAAGTCACTGTTGTAGAAAAAAAGTGGTAGAACTGTTCTAGATAAAAGGTGACATAATAGTGAAATACAAAGTGTGAACCTTCATTGGCTCTTGGTTATAAACAACACCTACAAAAATCATTTTGAGGACAACTGAGGAAATAGATACAGTATTAGATAGTATTAAGGCATTATTATTAATTTTCCTGAGTGAGATATTGGTTTTGTGGTTAACTGAATGTAGAGAATGTCCGTATTTCTAGAAATGATGCTGAAATATTTAAGGGTGAAGTATGATGTCTGATAGAGATAGTGAAATGTTAACAATAGTTGAATCTAAGTGGTGGGTACATAAGTAAGTGTTCATTACATGTTCTTGGGGGGAAAAAACTATTTCTTAGAAGACTATAAGCTTCCATAAAGTAAGGACTGTATCCTCTTAATTTTATATCTTCAGCACCTAAAACACATCCTCGTACCATAAATGTTTGTTGAGAGAATGAAGAAATAAAACAAAGCCTGTATTTTGAGATGCTTTGGGGCTGGTAGAAATGGTGATTCTCTACACATTGAAGCCACCTTCTGAAATAATTAACAGATAAAAAATGTATTATACGTTATATGGTACACATTAGTCACTCAAATGTTAGTCCCTTCTTTATTCTCATGACTTTATCTCTGATATTCTTTAGATAAATGACAGATGTCATTAAAATCTAACTGCTTTGGAATGTCTCACATAACAGACAAAGCAAAAATGGCAAGTAATTGGGTTGAAACAAAGATTAACATTTATTGAGTTAATCAGATTGGATGGACATTCATTTTGGACAAAATACTATAAGAAAAGCCTCAGTTTGGTTGATGATGGACATGAAAGACAGATCTGGAATAGTAGAAATAAATAATAACAACAGCAGCTAACTTTTTGAGCACTTTATCTGTTTTATCTCATTGAATCTTCAAATAATTCATTGGAGTTGGTACTATAATTATCCCCATTTTTTAAAAGTGAGGAAATCAAGCTATGGAGAGGTAGCCAAAGGTCACAGAATATGTGGTAGAGTATGTGGCAGAGTTGGAATCCAAACTAACTACAGAGCTCTTGCTCTTAACCACTACTTTATGTTCTCACCCACTGTCCTATTCCATGTAAGAAGTAGGATTCAGTACCAGCCACTCTTCTCAAACATATGTTAGGCATCTTTCCAGACAAAATTATTACACAGTACTAGAGAGTCACTTAAAGCAAGCAGACTACATCAGAAAATAAATGCTTACCTACAGAACAGATGGGATTCTCTCCTGAAGTTTTGAATCTAAAAAGAAGGAGAGAGTATGTTGAATACAGTTAAATAACCACAATTTATTTGCACAGTTATCAAAACTTGTATACTCTTCATTAAAGATAAGTCAATGCCAGGTATTTCCTTATTCCCTTCTTACCTCCTTCCTACAAACATTATTATGTATATATTATGTGCCAGACAACAAGCTAGGTTTTGAGGATGCAACAATAAGTAAATGTCTCTATGGTCTAGTTGGGAAAGAGATACTATAGGTAAACAAATGTGAACCACAATTTAGTGCTGATCCAGAACAAAAACATGTATAAAATTTGGTGGAGCACAAAGGAAAATGTGGTCATTTCTACTACGGAGGTGAAACTATTTGAGCTGAGCTTTAAAAATAAACTATTCTCAATTATTTACCCTTACAGGCTAAGCATTCTAGGCAGAGGTACGAAAGTGGTATGTTTGGGGAACTGCAAGCAGCTGGATATGAATAGAACTTAAGCAACAGGGGGCATGGTGAAAGAGGTAATCAGGGGCGAGCTTATGAAGAACCTTGTACACTGTGCTAGGGAGTTTAGTCTTTACTCTGTGTAGGCAGTGGGACTGTTCTGGCAGAATTTAAGCAGAGGAGTGATATGATCAAGTTTAAGTTTTGGAAAGTTAACTCTGGCAGTAGGTGAGAAATGAATAGGAAGAGGTGAGACTGAGGCAAGAGAACCAGTGAGGTAGTTCTTGCAATAGCCTTGAACTATTAGAATATGTTCTGGGAGTATGGAGAAGAAGGGAAGGCAGTGGATACAGAAGCCAGAGAACATGGAAGAGAATAATATGGCTGTTTGGCTGACTAGATAATGAGAGTATTTTATTTTAGTTCAGCGTCCTGCAAAGCATTGGAACTAAATTGTGGAACAAGTTGGAGACAAGCAGATCTGTAACTAAATGCTGACTCTGCCATTTCCAAACTGTGACTTTAAGCAAGTTGTTTTATATTTCTGTAACTCAGTTATCTCATCTTTAAAATGCAGATAAAAATAGTATAATCTCATGGGACTGAAAATCTATCTTAAACTCTCTGAGCCAGTTTCCTCTTTTGTAAGATGATAATATTTATATTTGTCTTGTAGTATTTTTTTTGTGAAAATGAGAGAGAACATGTAAATGCCTAGCATGGTGCCATAGTAAGGGCATATTGAATAATTGACTGATTAATGTAAAAATCAATTAAGATAGAAAATAACAGGAAAAAGGCTTCAATACATGTAAAGGATTAAAGAAATCATCAAGGCTCATGAGTGTCATGTGGTCCAAGAAGATATGCAATTCACTGTTTTATATCATGTGGCTGCCACACATGAAGCACTCAGTGAATATCTGCCGAATAGAGAAATAAACTATTAAATGTTCTTCATTACCATCTAGAGAAAAACAATGGATAAGTAGCATACTGTATATGCGGAAGAGCAAAAAAAAAAAACTTGGGTTGGAACCTTAACTCCAACTCATATTAGCTATGTGCTCTTAAAGCAATCGATTAACCATTCTGAACCTCAGTTATTTATGCATAAAATTGAGATAATATCACCTGTTTCACCAAGTCACTAAGAAGATCTATTCACTCATTAAACAAATATTTATTAAATGCCTACTGTGTGTCAGAAACCATTCTAGGCCTTAGAGATATAGTAGTAAACAAAACTATCAAAGTCCTTATCCATATGATGCTTATATTCTAGTGGGTGGAGGGGAAGACAGATAATTTAAATACATATACACATGCATAAATATAAAATGTGTCAGGTGGTGATACGTGCTATGAAGAAAAACAAAACAAGATAAGGGGATAGAGATTGATGGAGGGGGTATTTTACATAGGGTAGTCAGGAAAGGCCTCTATGATAAGAATACAGTAAGAGAGCAAGTGATATGGATATCTGATGGAAGAATGTGCAAAGATCCTGGGGTGGGAGAGTGCTTAGATCATCAAGGAATAGAAAAGGAGCCAGTGTGGCTAAAGCTGAGTAAATAGTAGAATACCATGAGGGAATAGATTATATAAAGAGTTGAAAGCCATGGTAAAGATTATAGATCTTATTTTGATTAAGATGGGAGATTTCTGAGATTTCTGAGTTGGCATGAGCAAACTTGATTTTACAAGAATCACTTTGATTTTAGTATGAAAGATAGAAGACAAAAGTGAAAACTGGGATACCAGTTAGAAGACAAAATGATGCTACTTCAGAAGATAAGGAACTGGTCTCTAGTAGTTTAGCAAAACAGAAAGCATAAGGCGTGAAACTGGAGGTAAGTAACGGTTTGATGCTGTAATATTTCAAAAGTAGAACCAAGAGGATTTGTTAAAGAATTGGATGTAGAGTGAGAGAAATAACAGTGTCAAGGATGACTCCAAGAATTTCAACCTGAGCAACTAGATGAATGGATTTGTCACTTACTGAGAACGGGGAAAGAGCAAGATGGCAGGGGAGTTAGTTCATGCTTGAGATGCTTAGTAGACACACAAATGGAGATGATGAAAGAAAAATGCTTTGTGAACTACCCAGTAGAATACAAATATTAGCTATATTCAACTACTGTTAATATCCTTACCTTAAGAGGGGAAAGGCTTGCTTAAAAATGATATCATTCCTCAGACACAGCACCTACAGCAAAACAGCCAGGTTAGAACAATCTTAAACATTCACAGACTTCCAAGCACCTCTTCGCAAAGAGACTAGAAACCCACAGTACACCAACCAAAAGGACCCAAAGGCTCTTGTCTGGCAAAGAAGCTGTCTTATAGTTAATACCAAACATGCAGGCAAACCATAGTCATCTTTTTTCTTATGCCACCCACTACAGAAAATAGAAGGCCCCCTTCCATGATGCTTTTTAAAAAACAAACAAACCTATTTCCTCTTTCCAATTTGATCTATTTTTTTCTAATATCAATGAACAACTAGTGTGAGTCTGCCAAGCACAGGCACCATATGAGAGACTTTCTTAATTCTTCTCTAATTTTCAAAACACTGCAAGGTAATTTTACAGGTGAAGGAACTGAGGCCCATACAGGTTATAGTCCAAGAAATTATAGCTAATAAGTGGCTAAGATGACTATTTTACTCCAAAGACTATACCTCTGTTACAGCACACTGTCTTTCTCAATAGTAATAATAGTGATACCAATATCAACAAAATAATGAGAGGAGACAGTAGCGGTGGCAGCTTCCCTCCCTAAGATTCTACCCTCCCCAGTTATTGCAATCTCACTCTGTCCTGCTGGGCACCCAGTCAAAAGATTAATGGCATAGCTTATCTAAGGGAGTGTTTAACATAGACGAGGTCTTCTTATAAACTAGATAATAAATACTAAATGTCCTTAAGGTCATATAACATAAAGAGAAAATCCTGTCTGCTATAGATAACAATTTCAATTCCTTTAACATGTATGCATTAAAAGACTTGTAAGCAAAAACAAAAGGAAGTCTGAGAAACAGTCACAGACCATAGGAGCCTAAGGAGACGTGACGACTAAATGTAACATAATATTCTGAATGGGATTCTGGAACAGAAAAATGACACTAGATTAAAAAAGGAAAGAAATATGAGTAAAGTATGGACTTTAATTAATGATAATATGTCAATATTGGTTCATTAATTATGAAAAATATACCACTACTAATGTAAGATAATAATAGAGAAAATTGGATGTGAGGTATGTTGGAATTCTCTGTACTATCTTTGCAACTTTTCTGTATTTCTACAACTATTCTAAAATAAAGTTTATTTTTAAAAAGATTATTATGTACCAACTACTATGCTGAATATTAAAGAGCCTATACAAGCAAAATGTAACAACATGGATGAACTCTAAAAACATTATACTAAGTGAAAGAAGTCAGTCACAAGAGTCAAATATTGAATGACTCCATTTATATGAAATACCGAGAATAGGTGAATCTACAGAGAAAGCAGATTAGTGATTGCCTAGAGCTGAGGGGCTGAGTAGCTGGGAATGACAGCAAAGGGACAGGAGGTTCCTTTTTGGGGTGATGACATGTTCTAAAATCAATTGTAGTGATGGTTGCACAACTCAGAATATATTAAAAGCCACTGAATTGTACATTTTAAATGGATGAATTGTGTGGTACATGAATGATATCTCAATAAAGCTGTTTAAAAATGTAAACACAATCCCTGTCCAACAGGAATTTGAATGGCTGGAGATCTGGACATACATTTGTATCAAACAGCTAAGCAATATTACAACCATTATGTGATTAAGTCACAATAGGTGATACAAACAATAAGCACCTCTGGCAGGAAATCCAGGTGGAGCTGGCCAGAAGATCTTAGCACTTGGGGTGTTACAGACTTTGCTGAAAATCTGTTCAAAGTCAATTGCCTTCTCCCCAACTTCATATAGGCATGGATATACAAAAGTTTGCACACTACGGGAGTCACTAAAATTCTTAACATCACCCATAGACCACTATTCTAAACCAAGAGAGGCTCAGGGGTAAGGGTCATGTCGTATTTCCATATAGCAGCTATTCAATCAAGTTTAGTTTTGGTGAAGTGAATGAGTGATAACCATTGCTACCATTTATTAAGTACCCACATCTATTTTGTAAATAATGTGTCTAAATCATAATTCCCTTACAGAATATGTATTATTATCTCATTCTATAGTTGAAACTGAGACTAAGTAATCTACCCAAAGTCAAACAGCTACTGTCAGAACTAGCATAGGATCATAGGTTTCTCTGACTCCAAAGCAAATAATTCCCACACTATTTTATACCCTCTCTCACATAAATGAATGTGTTGGTACTTAGGAAATCAGGAAGAGGAGGTAGGGGAGAAATAATAAAATTTTCCAGAAAAAGTCTCCCAGAGAATCGAAGATTGGAAAGGATATGAATATATGGAAGGAAGGGCAAAGTACATAGACAATCATAAAAATCACAATTAAGTCGGATACTAAAAAACTTTGTAAAGTATGTGTGTAACATGCCTAACCTAATATTGGCCAAATAAAAGATAGAGCAGGCAAACTATGAGCCTCAGAAGACAGAAGCACTAGCCAGCTCCCCCACCAATGGCCACCATACCGTGGACCTCAAGAAGGAAAATATCTGCAAACGGATCCATGGTTAACTCAGCCAGAATTTCTAAGCAGAATCTAGCTGCCATTGCCAACAGATGCCTCTTATGCACTCTGCATTTCAGGGAAAAGCCATGGTCTGAGTTGCTGCACTGTTTCTCTCTCCTGAGTCAACCCTTACAAAAGAGTTCCTGGTATTATATTTTGACCAATGGGCTGAGCCCTTCCCTGTCCAATCAGAACGGCACAGCCATATCCTCATTTGCATCTTTATTGACTAATCAGAGCAGCTTCAAAACAAGCAATCAGAACGCACTATTCCAACCAATCAGGTCAGTGCTATTTGGGCCAATCAGATTGTTTGATTTTGGATTCTTCATTTACATAAACATGGACCAATCAGGGATGGGGGAGGTACTTTCTTCTTATAAGAGGGTGTCCTGTTTGTCACCATGGAGTACATTTTCTGTTTCTCTGGTTTGCAAAATATTCGCCTGAATAAAGTTACTAACCCTTCATTGCACCCCAAATTGGGGGCTCCTGTTGGTGTTGGATTGATGGCAGCAACCTTTTTGCCAACAATACCTTGGCTCGTACTTGCTCCCTCTGAAGTTAGAACAGGTGGCACTTAAGATTCCTGCAGGCCCCCGATCAACCATGACAAACAGCACAGAAATCAAAGCAAACAGAGTATATTCTTAAATGGGTCATTTCATACAGAAGAGGTACTGGGAGGGAAGAAAGACCTAGATGAAAATGATTTTTCCTCACTTTAATTGTTCAGATTTCTCAATCTTTATTATAATAGCAAAGGATTTAATTATCTAAAAGCCAGGCTTAAAGGTTGACAACTTTCTGGAAGATATTCAAATTGTAGCGTGAACGCTCTCTTTCAGCTCTGGGAAATGTGCTTCTCTTCCCCTGCAATGTTCAGCATTATTTATCAGAACCAAAGTAATCTATTTTGGGACTGTATCTACAAACACCACCTCCTCCCAGTCAGCAAATAAAGAGCAGCTACAGTTCTGGAACAAATTGAAGAGGAGGGCAGTGATGCTAGCGAATGAATGAGGACACAGCTGCTGCAATGGGTTACAAAAATACTTGTCCCATGAGCTCCGGAGCCAGGAACTAGGAAAAGACTGCTACCAAAGAACCAAAGTCATGGGGCGAAACCTATATAGTACAAGAGTAGCTTCAGACAGCAGAGCCCCAGGGTGAGTAATGACAGCAATGGGTAAGGGACCCTTCAGGCAAGCAACCGAGAGCTGTTTTATGAAGACTAACAGAATATATTTGTATATTAACAAATATCATTTAAACTAGGATTATTATTTATTGAATACATCCTTTGTGCTGAGCATGTTCCATGTACTATTTCAATTAATCTTTATACCAATCCTCTGATAGAGGCTTAGGAAAAAACAGAGGCTTAGGTAAATTGCCCAAAATTATAGGCTGGTAAGAGGTACCATAATTCAAACCCAAGTGTGACTGAATCCAAAGCCCACGTTTTCCATTCTGCCACACTGCCTCTCAAAAGAGTAATACTAATTTATACTAGTGAAATTCATATGCTAATAACAATAGTCTCAATAACCCTGTTGTTGAAGATCTGCTATATGCTGAACATCATTTCCTTTAATGCTCACAACTATTCTGTGAGGTAGATACTTCTACTTCCATTTTACTGTAAGGAAACCAAAGCTCAGAAAGGTGACCTTTTCTGAGTTCTTTCAAAATTGCTTATTTATAGTTTTTCCTTTGGCCATTCTCTTCTGAATATGTTTAAGATGTTGACTATCGAAGTCTGTCTTTGCACTAAGTCTTAATGGCAGTTAGAAGTACTGGTTATAGATTCACAAAGGACTGAGTTTGAATATCAGCACTTCATTCTTATTAGAATGTGATCTTTGACAAGTCACTTAAGAAATACCTGACCTCACATACTGTATGATTTCATTTATATGAAATGACCAGAACAGACAAATCCATAAAGACAGAAAGTAGATTATTGGCTACCAGGGAGTGGGCAGGGGGAGTGGGGAATGAGAAGTGACTGCTTATGGTTACAGGATTTCTTTGGGGAGTGATGAAAATATACTGGCATTAGATATTGGTGATGGCTGCACAAATTTGTGGATATACTAAAAACTGAATTTTCTACTTTTAAAGGGTGAATATTATGTATGATATGTGAATTATATCTCAATATTTAAAAAAAAAAAAAAAAGAATACCTGGCTTCACACCATTTAACTGCTGGATGGCACTTATAGGCCACAGTTGAGCTGTTAATCCCAATTCCCTAACTTCCTTCAGGACTAAGTTCAGTTTCAAATTACCTGCAGTCACCTTCTGAAATATAAGTCTACTCCCATATTATCTCCCCAACTCTCATCCCCATAGTTCTCTACATACTCTTCCTTAATCCAATCCTGACTGCTTCTCCTCCTCCCAATTTCCTAGGGGCCATCTGGAACTCCTAGTATATTCTCATTTCAGGGACTTTGCACATGTTCTCCCTGTCTAAATTCTATCCTTCTTTAAGTTTTAGTCATATAACATCCTCAAGAAAACTCTTCTGACTGTTCAGACTTGCTTGGCTCCTGCTGTTACACACTCATACAGTACCCAGGGTCTTTCTTTTGTGGCACTTATAACAATAAATTAAGTAGTTATATGTTTAATTAGCCTCTTTGCTAGGAATATAAGCTCCATGAAAAGAGGAAACTGCTACATCCCAGGATTTAGCATACTGAAACATAACAGGTGCTGAACAAATATTTGGTGATCAAATTAATAAATCCCACCAAACCTCATTTTCTTATCTCTACAGAGGTTATAAAAATATTTATCTCAAAAAGTTGATAATATGGTTAAATTACATAATATTAAAAAAAAGGGCTTAGCAAATGCAAGACATATTGTTAATTGTCAAATTGGTAGCACTAATGATAATGGTGGTGACTGTTCAGCTCCTCATTTATTAAATAATAGTGTGTGTGACAGGTGCTGAAGATAAAAACATGAACAAAATAGAAAAATGTCCCTGTCCTCCACTTACAATCTAGTAGTGACCAGGCTACAGCCACTTCATAACCATTTTCCTGGCCTTTGGACTCCCTGCCTTCTAGGCACTCTGAAATTTGTGTCCTATTTCCTATCTTCTTATGTCTTCCTAATTCATGTCTGTTGGTTTGTTATTTGCTTCAGTCCTCACTACTAGTTATTCATATGAACTCTGCTCCACATTACCTTCAATGTTTTCATTTGAACTATGAGATCGGTCCCCAAAGTTGCTCCTTCTGGGCTGATATCTTGATCAGTCAATATGTTTTCTGGGATTTGATGAATATCAGTATTAGCATCTTAATCAGATCCACCTTGCTCTACTGTTTCTGTTGACCTAAAGAGGTATATGATTCTGCCTAGTTTTATTACTATAAAGCTGGGCTTCTCACTTATCTAAAATGTGAGATGATTATTAGCTAATAATTTCTTAGGGTCCCAAAGAAAGAGCACTGAGTTAAGAGTTTGAAGTTCCAGTCTCAACCCTACCATGTACTTACCATGCAATGTCAGCATTTGTTTATTCACTTATTCATTCAGTATTTATCAGGTACCTATTTTAAGCTAAGTACACTGTAGACTTCGTACATACAGATATGAAGAAAATATAGTTGTGTGCCCTCAAATCTTTCAGTGAGGAGAGATGTGCAAATTATTTACTATATTACAATGTGAGATCAATATAATGGACTGTATAGATCACAAAGAAGGAAGGACTGACAACTAGAAAGGTCAAGAGGAATTTTCATTCTTCATTTCACAGATGAGGAAAACCAAGATTATCATCAAATTAGGGAGATGTGAAATACTCATAAAAGGAAAGGCAATAGGGTCTTAGAGGAGTAAAAAATTTAAGCTCCAGTCTCAGTACTACCATTTAAAAGGCCACTGCCCTATAAGCAAGGCATTCATTCATCCAGGCATTCAGTAGAACACCTGAGAACCTATTATGTACCAGTAGCTTCCATTTCCTCATCTTGCACCTGCCAGGACTCTCTCATAATATTACGAATATCAAATGAAATTATACAAATGAAGCAGTTTATAACTGTAGAATATCAATATACCTACTTGCATAAACAGCAATTCCAGATAGCAGCATCATCTGCATTTTACAGATATGAAACTGGAGCAGAGAGAAGTCAAACAAGAGATAGAATACAGGTCTGATGCAAACCCATTAATTTTCCTCATAACTGTAAAGTATTAACTAACACCTCAAGACAGGCTAAGATGAGGACAGTCACATGACTGCATGTGATTAGGTGCCAAAACATACTACCAGTAGGAGTTCAGAAAATAAACAGACATGGAGTGATCAGAAAGCGTTTATAGAAAAGATAACATGAGCTGGGCCCTGAAGGAGGGGAGTAATTGGATAAATGATAAGAAAGGTAAAGGTACTCCAAATGAAAAAGCTCCATAAGATCAAGGATCAGGAATTCAGCGTTTAGCAAATAAAAAGAAGACTATCTGGACAAAGCAGGAGGGCAGACAGAAGAGTAAAGTCAGTAGAAAGGAATATGGAAGGGAACAGTGGCATCAGACTTGGAAGGGCTCTATATGTCCTTATTTCTTCAGATGATGGCCTAATGACAGATTTCCATGGGCACTCCTGGAGTATAGAATGGTTAAAAACAGTATTCCTTGAAAAATGATCTCTCCCTTTCAGCATTCCTCAGAATCAAGGCAAATAGAGCAGGAGCATGGAGCCACCAATCTGATCATCTTTACCAACAGAATTTTGAAACTTTCTGATTATTTTTCTATTATCCTTTCACAGATATGGCCAAATTCTCACAATTTCGCTAAGATGAAGTGAACAACAGTGAGTCATTTCATATGAAGTGAGGTTTGGGCCCTTAAGGAAACAAATCTAGAGAAATTTAGGGGCTGCTCGAAGATAACTACTAGTAGATCCCCGAGCACAAATGATCATGCTAATCTATGGATCATGGAGATTATAGTCTCTACAATTAATGCCTAAAATAAAATTTTAACATAAATTGCTAAAAATAAGTCATTATTCTAAGCAGCATACAACTGAAAGAGTGCAATCGATAACGTTCAGTCTGTTAAGAGGACAAGGTAAGGCCACAGAATGCATTTCCGGTGGTTCATACGGTTTTACCGCAGTCACTTAAATAAGGTTTTACAAGTAGAAATGTAGTTTATTACCATCCTTCCCTTATTGCCAAGTAGTCTCAGATTAGTTCAGCAAGTCAAAAACGGTATTTGTAGAAAAAAAATCTGGAAGTTGATGACTTAACACAAAATAAAGTGACCTGCTTAAGGTCATACAGATTATTGGGACCTATCCTGGTGTGATTTTCAGCGGAACTCTTTCCAAGCCAATGGACAGCGACCGTAGCTAGTAGCGGGTGCTTAGCGCGTGGGATATTGCGGCGGAGGGCGCCCAGAGAAGAGGGAGCGCAATCGTTTGATTACAAGGCGCCGCATGTGCTGCCGGGAAGAGGCTTGGTCTCTCCAGTGAATAATATACCCGGATGTCTGCAGAGGCGGTGATAGCCACAGCCACCTCCCAGGTCTGCTCTCCCCACCACCCTGGCCGCGGCCGGCATGCGCGAAACCTACGTTACCTTTCCCAGAGCTCCGTTCATCCTCTGCTGTTGCGGCCTGTTATTGTGGAAGCTGAAGATCAGCTCAAACAGCCGCAATCCCTGGGCGGCTGCAAACACTGACGGAACGGCCTCGATCGGTCCAGTAACAATATCCGACCGAGACTCGCTGAACTCTGCAGCATCTTGGTTCCGGCAGCCTCTGCCTAGAAATTCCCCCCTCAGACTCCGCGCTCACTACAGCTCAAGTGTCACCTTCACTGCTTTCTCCAGGCGGAATTGTCAGCTCTTGTTGCTCAGATAACTTTGCACAAATTTCTGTTTCATTTACCATACTATATATTAATTGTTACTATCTCCTGCATTTGATTTTAAGTTTCTCAAGGACTGAGATCCTGTCTGATTAATTCGTTCCAGCGTCTAGCACAGAACATGGCGATCTGACTTCTAACCTCTAAAAGCTGATTGACTCTAACTTTTCTGACATTCGATAGCCTCCTAATAATTAATAATTATTTTTTATTGAGTGACCACTATGTGCAATGCATTATGTTCAATGCATCATTTAACTGTGAATTTGTCTCTGTAAATGGTCTCTTAGCAATTCTGCCCCCAAAGGAGTTAACGGCTACCTTTGGGGGACATAGATTTACCCACATAGCCCTTTGTAGCTCCTTGAAATTTCATCATAGGAAGGACTGATAAAACAACAGGTTAAAAAACCTTGGCAGAGTTTCTGACAAAAAAGCAAACTCGCTATCACTGCAGCCCCGTTCATATTTACCAGTTTTTACACCTTTTCCTTGAGAACAACAATAATGAAAACAGTAGCAGCAGCAATAATAGTAACAGCAACAATAAAAATAACTATATTTGTTATTTCACTTGATGTTGACTTCATGTGACCGCATATACGCTTTATACACAAGAGTTTTTATATTTCTGTAGTTGGAATTCCTCATTGCTTTATACTTGTCTGTTTATGGCTTTATCTTCCTACTAATCTCTGTGAGCCACTTTTTAAAAAGAAAAGTATGTATTTAAAGTGTACAATATGATGATTTGATAAATATATACATAGTGAAATGATTATTAGTCAAGCTAGTTAACATATCATCTCCTTATATGGTTACCTTTTTGTGAGTGATGAGAGCACCTGAAATCTACTGTCTTAGCATATTTCCAGTATTCAATACAGGATTTCATTATCTAAAGTCATCATGCTGTACATTGGATCTCTAGACTTACTCATCCTGCATAACTGGAACTTTGTACCAACATCTTTGACCAACATCTCCCATCCTCCAGCCTGAACCCTTGGTCACCACCATTCTATACTCTGCTTTTATAAGTTTGACTATTTTAGATTGCACACAAAAGTGAAATCATGGAGTATTTGTCTTACTGTGTATGGCTTATTTCGTTTAGCATAATGTCCTTCAGGTTTATCCATGTTGTGGCAAATGACAAGTTTTCCTTCTCTTTAAAAGCTGGCATTATCTTCCATTATTTATATACTGTTTATACTGTTTTCCATAATGGCTGTACTAATTTACATTCCCACCAACAGTGTTCAGGGGTTCCCTTTTCTCCACATCCTTCCTAACACTTGTTAAATGTTACCTTTCCTACTTAGTCTCTTACATCAGCTTCATAGCAATGGTGTGGTCCCTCTAGTGTACTTGCACACTCATTTTTTATTCCCTCAATACAGTATCTTGTAACTATTTGTTTACTTGTATATCCTTCCCACTAAATTGTGAGCATTTTTAAACAAGTATTCTTTTTTCCACCTCAAAGATTAATACAGATATTGTTATGTTTATCGTTTTGTACTTTTCAAACCTCTTACACAAACCTTATGCAATTTTATCAAAGGTAAGATGATCCATATGTTTTTTCACTTTGTGCATGATAAAACGGAACGGAAGATGATAGATGGCTTGCCTAAGCTTAAATGACTAGTACATGACAATAATAGGGTAATGACAATAGATTTTTAGCTCTGGAACCCCTTCTTATGGTTAATACCAAGAGCAAACTCTGAGATCCTCCCATTACCAACCCTAAATCTCAAACAGGCATTTGGCGAATTGACATTTACACAGCACAAACGAATTTGGGCCACAAGCAACTTCACTGAGGCACTAACAATGAAGTCAGCCTTTTCCCAGATAAGAATGGAGGTTAAATGCAGTGAAGCACCAACTTCTTCAGTCCTGTAAATTTCTCCTCCACCTCCAGACAGATGTCTCCCAATCTTTGTTCATTCCATCTTATTCTCAGTCCTGTGCAGCATAGCATATTCTTAAAGGAGTAGTCTTTATTTTTCTTTATATCCCCAGCATTTGGCATAGGTCATAATTATGCTCCAATAAATGTTGAACAAAATAAAGAATGAGTGGATATTTAAAAGTTCCTAGATGTTATTATGAATTTTAGAATTTCTAAGCTCTTGTACACCCCCCTCCCTTCCCTTCTAACACACACACAAGCATGAAGGAACTCTGCCTTTCTGGCTTTATTTTTACTAGCCAGCCTTCTTTAAAAGCTTTTTTTATTTAAAAACAAAAACAAAAACAAAACAAAACAAACCTGCTCCAGTCCCCAGCACAACCACATCAGAGAAAGCCTTAGGGAACAAGAGAGGATAAAAAGAGGCCCTTTAGAAGAATATGTTTGATCTCAGGTTAAACTTCCTTGAAAGTAATACTTCTATGGTACCTATTATAAAAAGTTTCCCAAGGGTGACAAATTTATGGCTTAAGTAGAATATATATATTAAGCCCATTCTAACTGAAAACTATTTTAGTTTCAGTAGGACTTTTCTTTTTCTTTCTTTTTTTTCTTTTTTGGAATGGTTTTGGTACAAAGAAAATCATACTTAAAAGGCCATAAGTGGAAGAGAGGTGGCTACCTAGGAAAAGTCAGAAAGGGTTGGGGCTGACTCTCCAACCTATACTTTACCAGTAATTTTATGCTTCTGCAGTGCTGGGCCAAGTAAACGGGGATTACCTTACCCTGGAGAGAAGGAGAAAGGATGATGAAAGAGGCTGCAAGAGAGAAGCTCAAGTGGTTAGTGAGATCACAGAAGCCTGTAAGAAAGGAGGGAGAAGGGTACAAAGAACCATTGCCAACCAGCTATGTGTGCAACTCAGTCGAGAATCTTTCTAGAAGCTCAGAAACTATGTTCAGGTTACTGAGAGAGCACCTGCTGCACAAAGCTCCTTCAGCACAGAGATTCTAGAATATTTAGACACTTGAGAGACTATCTGCTCACTGCTTCTCCCATCCCTTTCAGGATGGCCTGCACTAAACCAGCCTTTATAACTTACACCATTACTTCCTAGTCCATAAGAAGATTCTTATGGAAGAATCCTTTGCAGTTTCTGCTGCCCAATCCCCAGATATCACATATGTACTGAAAATCAGGAACAGAAAAACTATAATTTCATTCTAGCAAATTACTCAAAGTCTCTAGTGTAATTCTTCCTGGAAGTTTGGGATTAGGAGACAGAGACAAAAGCATGATGGGAGACCAATTTTGAAATAAATTCCTCAGAAGAGAGTAATACATCCTTGACCTACTGAGATAAGAGCTTCAACTATCCTCTCTCTTTATTTGAATGCCTCCTCCTCTTTACCATCACATCTATTTCCCAGGTTCCACTTTCGCCGTCTCTCACATGAACTATTGTGCTGGCTTCTAGATAATCTACCAGCCTTCAGTCTCATCCACATTCCAGTTTATTTCCAAAAGCAGCCTTCCTGAAGCACGCATCATGAAGATTATGATTTAAAAAGAAAAATAAATCCAAACAAACAAAACCTCAATAGCTACTTACGACCCTCCAATTTAACAACACACTCCTTACATTGGTATTCATAGCTCTCATGATTATCTCCAATTTACCATTCCAGCTATTCCTAGTCACGTATCCTTAGCTTCTACTACACTGATAACTGCTCAACATATTTTCCCATATCTCCCTTCTGGACTTTATTATTTGTATTATAGTTATTTGCAGATGTGTTTTGTCTGATCACTGGACCATGCTCCTTGATTTTAAAATCCTTGTTTGATTCAGTATTCAGCATGTAAAGTTTCAGCATCTTTATAGCATGTACACATAGGAGGCACCAAAAGATATTCATGGATGAACTTTGGGCTTGCTGAAGAATACTAACACACCTTTGGCCCCGAGGATTGCTAATCAAAATATAAATGGTTCTCAGATAAGCTACTCTTACTTGAGTCTCTGAGAGCATTTTCTTGAAGAAAAAAAAAAGGGAGGGGATACTTACTGTAAAACATTTCATTATATTTCTCTTATTTTACATGTCTTTTCAAAATAGTTTTAATATAGTGCATCCAATTTTACAGGAAGTTTTGTTTCCAGTATATTATGACATAAACTATTCCCTAGCTTATTAAAACTCATTGCACATATCATTTTGTAGCTGTAAAATATTCTGTTATAAAGATGTATCATTGGATCTTAAATTTTTTACTTTCAATATTACAAATTACGCTAAATTTTCACTTTACAATTACTTTCTTATGATAGTTATCATGAGAAGAAAAATTAGTTCTAGATAGATTCATTTTGAGGTTTTTGGTATATTTTGCCAAATTGCTATTGCTTTATTTCTCAGTTTCCTTTTTTGCCACACCTTCATAAGCACTAAATATTAATATATTTGAAAACTTTCCATATTTGGTAAGTAAAAAATTGCATATCAAAAATCTTTACAAATTTGATTGTTTATAAATTGCATAATCTTTATTTTCATTTTCTGTTGCTAATACGATCAAACCTTTCCCCACATTTTATTATCCAGTTGTATTTCCTTTGTGAATTGCTTGTTCATGTTGATTATCTATTTATCCTGTGGAGTCTTAATACTTTTTTCCTGCCAATATCAGCCTTTTAAACACACCCTTATTATATTTTAGTAAGCAGCTTATATTCAGGGAAAGAACACCATACATGTGTTCAAGAAATCTGGTTCAAGCCCCACCACAACCATTATGTGACCTGGAGCAAGTCATTTCTCTTTAGACCTCATTATCCAAATCTGTGTAATGAGGATGATGGAATAGGAGCTCTAAGATCAAGGGAAAGGCCGAGTGGATGGGGCTACACTCCCAAACTCCTGCCTTCTGCTTAATTAG